GGTAAAATAAATGTACCGAACAAGGGAATACATACAATATAAGATGAGCTGTGGATGGCAAGGATTACTGTATGTTTTAACCACCAAATGGAGACTGACCGCAGGGCCAAAACACATGGAGCCTTTTTCGGATACCACCTCGTGTGCGGTTGGTCAAATTACACCTTCCACCTAACTCCTGAACCCCTGGTCCGATCTGGGTGAATTTTGAATATGTTAGTCACCAAGATCAGTATTAGTCTAGCTGCTTGTTATGGGGTACATCCAGAATTCGGGGAAAACTACAGTATGTTTAATGGGATTATGTGTCACACTGAGGGAAGGAGATGCGTGGGAGGTAACTGTTACATTATTGGCTACTGTACTAATTATGGTGAATCCCTCCTTTGCATGGGAGAATGCTTTAAAAGGAGGCTGTGTAGATTAAAAGTCAGTTCTGCTCCTGATACTGTGTGTCGTCCAGTCATTGGGATCTGTATGGGGATACTCGTGGATTACCTTGCTTGCTGTGATTATTACTCTATGGTATTTTATTACTTGTTCCTGAGCCTCACTGGGATCTTTAGTGGAGTTAACCTGTGAAAGACCAGCTCTCCGCTACAACGTGTATATGTATTAAGCATGTTAAGCTAAGGAACTCCTAAGACATATTACCCCTGCGTACCAAAAACACCTACCTACTGAAATGGATTCGAGGTACGAAGAGCAAATGCTGCTCTGAAAATGGCTTATCTCATAATCTGTAATAGAATGTTGATTCAGTCTGACTTAGATATACGGTTTATAAGCTGGCCTACAGACAGAAGTGTACATATGTGTGGGATAGTGTTTACCAAATGAAACCCACTGCCACATTTACAGTTTGACTGAATGTGTTAAGACATCGTGTAGTATAACACTTTAGAACCATAAATGACCCACCTATAGCAAGAACAGTAATCTGTTGATAGAGGGAAGGCCAAGTTTAATACATCCACAAAAAAAAGACCTGAAATTCAATGACAATATACCTATAAATAACATGAGATATAATTTGACCACAACCTAAAATAACCTGCTTGAATGTAGATAATGGAAAAGATAGAAAATTCGGATACGAGGAGACATTATGTAGTAATAGGTATTGAGCACTAGAGGGTCACAAGCCGAAAGATCTATATATACTGTTCGTGTGAAATATGAAAGTGATTTCTATTCTACAGTGAGAATTTTAATTGGCATTTGTATAAAAAAAACAAAAAAAACACAAAACAAAAACGCGCCAATGTTGGTTGTACGTATTTAATCCGCTTGTGACTCTCGCAGGGGAGTCTTATTTTAAAATTAATGAATGCCTCGCTGAAAACTCCTAATTCATGCGAGCATAGAGTAAGATGGCACGAATGCTCTATACAGCCATAGATCTTTCGTGTTCGCATAACCCAATATATAAACCTTCGAATAAATCATGCAAACGCTTTCGTACGTATAAGCCTAAGAAGTCGTTTTTATGGAAAGAGCCGAACGGGATTGTATCCGTGTAGACGTATAGCCTGAAAGGTTTCCATAAAAGGGACCTGAGGCAAATAAAACCAACACAACCAAATAAACGAAAAAGTAAATAGAATCAAACCGTAATGACGCCATGGGAAGGCGCCGGTACAACTGCTTGTCCACAGGGTCAAAGGTCAGCAGGTGCTTCCAGGTAAGTTTGCCGCACAGAAGATTGAAGCAGGAGTAAACATCAGAAGTGGAGCCTGCAGTGTGAGATGGCGGTCTGCATGCACATCGCCAGATTATTGATAGTGGGGTGTGGGGTACCTTTTATAGACAACACAAGCCCCTCCCACAACTCCAGGCAAAGCCTTAACATAGTTCACTCCAGGATTCTTTTCTTTATTGCTCAATCTTCAAACAGGTCATACAAACATCATAGTAAATTAAAGGCGTTATATCAGACAAATAATAAGTAGCAACTTACATCGGCTGCCCACCTGGGTGCTTGGGCGTGTACATATGACATCAGGAAATAATTTTCCTATTTTTGGCAAGGCTCGACCCACTTTCTAGCATCACTCTGCTTCATCACTTGCCCAGGTAAACAAAATGAAGCTCGTATGCCATTGGCTCCCTGTTCGTGTAAATAAGTCTGCAGGAGACTTGCTCCATCTAGCTAAGGAGGCTCCGTCTGCCTGCTCGGTCGTGTCAAGTAACTGCTCCATGGCAACCCAGACCGCACCAATCACATCATCGGCGGGAATATTTAACTGACTAGAATGTGGAAAATTAGTTACAGACGAGAGAGAGTGTGAATACATACACACACTTTTTAACTATATATATATAATTATTTTGTTACGCAGGAAAATACCACATATTAGCTTGCAATTCCCCAACAGCACATGCAAGTACACAAGACAACATAGAATAACAGTTGGTCAGCATTTTGGGGGTCCGTAATGCATCACTTCCTGGTTCCGTGCCCGTAATGCATTTCGCCCCACCCACAGGACTTTGTCAAACGGTCAGCCGGCAACAGCAGCCAGGAAATGCATTACGGACCCGGAACCAGGAAGTGATTTGGAGACAGTCGGCAACAGCAGCCAGAAAAGTCTACAGCTATTTTTCCACCATGATTATTTTTACCTAAAATTTGCAGTTTTTCAAATTTTTACTTCATTATTTAGACCGTGAGTGCAGCCCTCGAATTTATTTTCATTTTTGGAGTATATATATGTATATATATATATATATATATATATATATATATATATATATATATATATATATATGCCTATATAACCCCTTAAGGACCAAACTTTGGAATAAAAGGGAATCATGACATGTCACACATGTGTCCTTAAGGGTTAAACACTGGCGCGGAAAACAAATAGCCAATTTATAAAATATGTGAGAATCACAAAAAGGATGTTCTGATCTTAGTAAATGGCAAAATGAGTCACCCTGGGCCACAAAATGTTTAGGTCATCAGGTCATCATTGAAAAGATCCATACCCATGGACAGGTCATCATTGAAAAGATCCATACCCATGGACAGGTCATCATTGAAAAGATCCATACCCATGGACAGGTCATCATTGAATAGATCCATACCCATGGACAGGTCATCATTGAAAAGATCCATACCCATGGACAGGTCATCATCGAAAAGATCCATACCCATGGACAGGTCATCATCGAAAAGATCCATACCCATGGACAGGTCATCATTGAAAAGATCCATACCCATGGACAGGTCATCATTGAAAAGATCCATACCCATGGACAGGTCATCATCGAAAAGATCCATACCCATGGACAGGTCATCATTGAATAGATCCATACCCATGGACAGGTCATCATTGAAAAGATCCATACCCATGGACAGGTCATCATTGAAAAGATCCATACCCATGGACAGGTCATCATTGAAAAGATCCATACCCATGGACAGGTCATCATTGAAAAGATCCATACCCATGGACAGGTCATCATTGAAAAGATCTATACCCATGGACAGGTCATCATTGAATAGATCCATACCCATGGACAGGTCATCAGCTAACAAGAACCATACCTAGTGACATAGAGAAAGCAATTTTATATAAAACCACAAAATAGAAAATAAGCAAAATTGCTCTATACAGAGAGTTAAACTAATATACTCTAAAATAGCTCAAAATACATATATTTTCACTGGATAAATGTATGTTAATGTAATTAGGAAATATAAAATTACAGAGGACGAGTCAACTCTAAACACTGGAAATGAAGAACTGAAAACAGAGCATGTATTAACAGAGGACAAATAAAGAAGTGGGTTTATGTTTTTATTTTTTTGCTATAATAAATTAGAATTAATATGTCTGTGTTCTAATATTAAATATTGAGAATTAAATTTTAATCACGATGGTGCATATATTTTGTAAATGCATTACAGGAATAATACAGGGAGTGCAGAATTATTAGGCAAATGAGTATTTTGACCACATCATCCTCTTTATGCATGTTCTCTTACTCCAAGCTGTATAGGCTCGAAAGCCTACTACCAATTAAGCATATTAGGTGATGTGCATCTCTGTAATGAGAAGGGGTGTGGTCTAATGACATCAACACCCTATATCAGGGGTGCATAATTATTAGGCAACTTCCTTTCCTTTGGCAAAATGGGTCAAAAGAAGGACTTGACAGGCTCAGAAAAGTCAAAAATAGTGAGATATCTTGCAGAGGGATGCAGCACTCTTAAAATTGCAAAGCTTCTGAAGCGTGATCATCGAACAATCAAGCGTTTCATTCAAAATAGTCAACAGGGTCGCAAGAAGCATGTGGAAAAACCAAGGCGCAAAATAACTGCCCATGAACTGAGAAAAGTCAAGCGTGCAGCTGCCACGATGCCACTTGCCACCAGTTTGGCCATATTTCAGAGCTGCAACATCACTGGAGTGCCCAAAAGCACAAGGTGTGCAATACTCAGAGACATGGCCAAGGTAAGAAAGGCTGAAAGACGACCACCACTGAACAAGACACACAAGCTGAAACGTCAAGACTGGGCCAAGAAATATCTCAAGACTGATTTTTCTAAGGTTTTATGGACTGATGAAATGAGAGTGAGTCTTGATGGGCCAGATGGATGGGCCCGTGGCTGGATTGGTAAAGGGCAGAGAGCTCCAGTCCGACTCAGACGCCAGCAAGGTGGAGGTGGAGTACTGGTTTGGGCTGGTATCATCAAAGATGAGCTTGTGGGGCCTTTTCGGGTTGAGGATGGAGTCAAGCTCAACTCCCAGTCCCACTGCCAGTTCCTGGAAGACACCTTCTTCAAGCAGTGGTACAGGAAGAAGTCTGCATCCTTCAAGAAAACATGATTTTCATGCAGGACAATGCTCCATCACACGCGTCCAAGTACTCCACAGCGTGGCTGGCAAGAAAGGGTATAAAAGAAGAAAATCTAATGACATGGACTCCTTGTTCACCTGATCTGAACCCCATTGAGAACCTGTGGTCCATCATCAAATGTGAGATTTACAAGGAGGGAAAACAGTACACCTCTCTGAACAGTGTCTGGAGGCTGTGGTTGCTGCTGCACGCAATGTTGATGGTGAACAGATCAAAACACTGACAGAATCCATGGATGGCAGGCTTTTGAGTGTCCTTGCAAAGAAAGGTGGCTATATTGGTCACTGAATTGTTTTTGTTTTGTTTTTGAATGTCAGAAATGTATATTTGTGAATGTTGAGATGTTATATTGGTTTCACTGGTAATAATAAATAATTGAAATGGGTATATATTTGTTTTTTGTTAAGTTGCCTAATAATTATGCACAGTAATAGTCACCTGCACACACAGATATCCCCCTAACATAGCTAAAACTAAAAACAAACTAAAAACTACTTCCAAATATATTCAGCTTTGATATTTAATGAGTTTTTTGGGTTCATTGAGAACATGGTTGTTGTTCAATAATAAAATTAATCCTCAAAAATACAACTTGCCTAATAATTCTGCACTCCCTGTATATAACAGCTTCCTGGGATTAGATTCAGAATGCCAAATACGTAGATTGCTCAGTTTATCGCATTCCGCTTCTCTCTTGTTTACAGAAACAGGGAGAATCTTTGCTTTCTTCCAAGATATAATCTCTGAGAACCTGGCACTTGCTAGCACAGATTTTTTTTTTAAATAAAAAATAAAATTTAAAAAAATGTAAACGTATTTTATTAATTCCACGTGTAGCTCCTAAATTGCACATCATTTGCCAGAGTTCATTACAAAGAAAGTAATAGATACAGTAGACAATTTGTATTTCGTAGACTTGGAAACTGAACTGAACTGCAGTTTGGCTGAATTTGAGCTGATCGAGTGCTTGCCTGGTTTCCTGAATTCTGAACAGAGATATACCTGAACTGCATATATGTTTGGAAGGAAGAATGTGTGCCACTAATTGGAATATTGCCTGTGATGCTGAATAATTAGAGGACTAATGAAAATAAAAGATAATTGATGGCTTTCAACAGCAATTGACACTTTTATAAATTAACCTAGTTACACTCCCATGTCTGTCAATCAGGCAACCGGTCATGTTACTTCCTCATTGAGCTAAACTCAAGACGCAGCAATTGCCCAGAGCACCTGCCTTGCAAAGACTTCTCATTGAGCTGCATTGGCAAGCCTGAGATTGGATGGCCACAGAAAGTCTGGGTAGGGTTACAGGGAGTGCAGAATTATTAGGCAAGTTGTATTTTTGAGGATTAATTTTATTATTGAACAACAACCATGTTCTCAATGAACCAAAAAAACTCATTAATATCAAAGCTGAATATATTTGGAAGTAGTTTTAGTTTGTTTTTAGTTTTAGCTATGTTAGGGGGATATCTGTGTGTGCAGGTGACTATTACTGTGCATAATTATTAGGCAACTTAACAAAAAACAAATATATACCCATTTCAATTATTTATTATTACCAGTGAAACCAATATAACATCTCAACATTCACAAATATACATTTCTGACATTCAAAAACAAAACAAAAACAAATCAGTGACCAATATAGCCACCTTTCTTTGCAAGGACACTCAAAAAGCCTGCCATCCATGGATTCTGTCAGTGTTTTGATCTGTTCACCATCAACATTGCGTGCAGCAGCAACCACAGCCTCCCAGACACTGTTCAGAGAGGTGTACTGTTTTCCCTCCTTGTAAATCTCACATTTGATGATGGACCACAGGTTCTCAATGGGGTTCAGATCAGGTGAACAAGGAGGCCATGTCATTAGATTTTCTTCTTTTATACCCTTTCTTGCCAGCCACGCTGTGGAGTACTTGGACGCGTGTGATGGAGCATTGTCCTGCATGAAAATCATGTTTTTCTTGAAGGATGCAGACTTCTTCCTGTACCACTGCTTGAAGAAGGTGTCTTCCAGGAACTGGCAGTAGGACTGGGAGTTGAGCTTGACTCCATCCTCAACCTGAAAAGGCCCCACAAGCTCATCTTTGATGATACCAGCCCAAACCAGTACTCCACCTCCACCTTGCTGGCGTCTGAGTCGGACTGGAGCTCTCTGCCCTTTACCAATCCAGCCACGGGCCCATCCATCTGGCCCATCAAGACTCACTCTCATTTCATCAGTCCATAAAACCTTAGAAAAATCAGTCTTGAGATATTTCTTGGCCCAGTCTTGACGTTTCAGCTTGTGTGTCTTGTTCAGTGGTGGTCGTCTTTCAGCCTTTCTTACCTTGGCCATGTCTCTGAGTATTGCACACCTTGTGCTTTTGGGCACTCCAGTGATGTTGCAGCTCTGAAATATGGCCAAACTGGTGGCAAGTGGCATCGTGGCAGCTGCACGCTTGACTTTTCTCAGTTCATGGGCAGTTATTTTGCGCCTTGGTTTTTCCACACGCTTCTTGCGACCCTGTTGACTATTTTGAATGAAACGCTTGATTGTTCGATGATCACGCTTCAGAAGCTTTGCAATTTTAAGAGTGCTGCATCCCTCTGCAAGATATCTCACTATTTTTGACTTTTCTGAGCCTGTCAAGTCCTTCTTTTGACCCATTTTGCCAAAGGAAAGGAAGTTGCCTAATAATTATGCACACCTGATATAGGGTGTTGATGTCATTAGACCACACCCCTTCTCATTACAGAGATGCACATCACCTAATATGCTTAATTGGTAGTAGGCTTTCGAGCCTATACAGCTTGGAGTAAGAGAACATGCATAAAGAGGATGATGTGGTCAAAATACTAATTTGCCTAATAATTCTGCACTCCCTGTAGAATGGGAGGGCTTGCACAGGCTGCAGACAAGAGATCTGCAGCTTTTGCAACCTTTTTTTAGCTAAAATGCATAATTAAATGCTAACATTTGTATTTTTTTGGTATTCATAATGCTTATATTTCTGAAGTGCTGGAAGGAGTGAAGTTTTTAAATTAATTAAATATGTAATTGATATAGCCATTTTGGGTTATATAAATGATATACTTACATATAAATTTTGTAATAATATATTTATAATCCATCACCCCTCGGCCTCATCTCACACTCATACTCAGTGAAGCTCTACATTTAAAATCCTGCAGCAAATCCAACAACCCTCAGGTATTGACTGAAGCTTGCAAGATACTCCATCTCATTTATTCTTGCATTACTGCCATATTATCACGTGTTACTATAGATGTGTTACCATTTATACCTGTAGTTTACCATTGTAATTTTCTGTGCATGCAGTTTGTATTATTGTCATTTAATGTTTCTGGCCAATATTTCATGACATTATTGCACAGTCGTTATTCGGCATGTGCCAAACTGTAACTTTAATAACACTCAGACACCAATAAGTTCTGTTGGAGTATAAAGTACACAGCTTTATTAATTAAGATAAATATATAAATTAACAATTTAGGGTCATTGTCAATAGTACTTCTTTCGTGCTGCGCTCTTCTGTCCCATACCTCCGACAATGACCCTACCAAAGAACAAACATTAACATAACCAATAATACATAATATGTAACTCACGGCCTACCAAGAGGCCCCACCTCCATTTGTAGAACTGTAGGGGTGTACCCAGACACCCTTACACCCCTTGGTTCGTAGCCACCGATGGGTTCGAACCTACCTCCACACTTTTAACTCCAGCCTACTCCAGCATAGACCTTGGCCTACCAATTTCATAATCCACCAAACTTCCTGTTTAACCAAGACCTTTTCCCACCGCTGTGACCAAACAGGAACTACCTCATACTCATAGGGTGGGTGGGTGGGTGGGACAATTTACAGGTAAGTAAGGCTCAAGTTAAAATGGCCATTCACTAAAATGGCCGCTATTTAACTTCCCCCCTACACCCCTCCCCCTGCATTACCTTAGATCAGCCCCTTGACCTAAACTTCACCTGCCTACTCCTGGCTCTGTCAAGGCCCACTCTAACCTGCGTTGCTCCATGGTTTCATGTACACAGTTATTAATATTTTGGGTGATAGGATTTGGTTGCTAAACTTTTCAATAGTATATAAGACATGGCTACTCTACCCTCCCCCACCTCTCCTCCCTCTCTTTCTTATTCTCCTCCCAGCTGTAAATACCTTCATATAACTGTTCCATCTATGTCCTTCAGGCCTCATCTCACACTCATACTCAGTGGAGCTCTGCATTTACATTCTGCAGCAAATCCAACAACCCTCACCACTTTCCACCCAGGTTCCCCATAAATAAATAGCCCGCTCCTCCAGCTGTTTGAGATTCTCACTCAATTACCTCTTCATTCCCTTTATATTTTACAAATAGCTGCTTCTCTCTTTTAACTCTTTTAGCCATCACTTCCAAATTTCCCCTGCTACATCTTGTCTCAAATCCCCATTGTATACTTTAGATTGTAAGCTCATGGGCCATCTAGCTGATCAGTTTGTGCAAAAGAGCTCCAATGGCTAGTTACCAGTTTACGGGCAGGGTTCTCTTGACCTCTTTTATTAGTCTGTGTATATTGTACGTTCTCCACTAATTGTAGAGCGCTGCAAAATCTGTTGGCAATTTATAAATACCAGCAATAAATAAATAAATATTATATATAACGTTTGGATTTCCTGGATCCCCATTAAACAAAAAGGAGGAACTGTTACAGAGTGGGGGGAATTCTCGGAGACCATGGAATTTCTTGTTGAAGACTATAAACTTATTTGTAGTCATTTAACTACGTCACTAATAGTTAAAAGACTGTCGCTGTTTTTAGTAACTGCCATAATTTTCAATACTAAAAAATTCTAACTATTTAATATATTATATAGTCAATTACTATTTTTACGTAAATGTCTGATTTAGTGTAGTATTGTTTTTACCTTTTTCCTCTTTCGTTTATTTATTATTGTGACATTGAGTTATTGATTTAACTCTAATAGTTTTTTTTTTTTGTGTTCTGTAATATTACAAATCCAGGGAAGGTGAGCCAAGGCAAGTGTTACCTCCGAACATGAGACATTCCACTGCCCAGGTTATGGAATTAGCAGGAATAGGACTGCACCAAGGACAGTTTCCTGAATGTACCCTCCTAAAGATATATATATATATACAGAGGTTGTAATATTAGATTGGGTCCATTCATACATAGTTTGTGGTGTGATTGAATGGTAAATGTGACTAGGTGGTTGGTTGGATGATAAGTGGGACAGGGCTGGGACAGTGTGTATGTGTTTGGAGGCTGCTTGTGGTGTTGTATGTTTGTGCAATTCTGCTTTAGAGGTGGTAGTGGCTATAGTGTGGCTATAGGGGATGTAGTGGAGAAATGGGGGCTGTAATGGGAGGATAGGGACTTGAGATGTGGCAGATAGTGGGTATAGTGGGACGACAGGGTCTGTAGTGGGAGACTAGAGACTGTAGTCAGAGAATAGGAACTATTGTGTGGTGGATAGTGGGTATAGTAAGGTGACAGGGGCTATAGTGGGGTGACGGGGTATAGAGACTATAGTGGGGAACATGGGCTATAATGGGGGAATAAAGAGTATTGTGGAGTGGATAGGAAGTGTAGTGAGGTGACAGGGGCTGTAGTGAGAGAACAGGTGATGTAGTGGGAGTATAATGACTATTGTGGGGTGGGTAGTGGATATAGGGGCTGACAGTGGCTGTAGTGGTTATAGGGGCTATAGTGGGGTGACAGCGGGTATAGTGGGGTGATAGGGGCTATGGTGTGGGTAGGGGCTATACTCGGGTGACAGGGCGTATAGTGGGGTGACCGGGGCTATATTGGGGGTAGGGGCTATAGTGGGGTGACAGGAGATGTTTTGGGGATTTATAGGATCACTGTAGGACCTGTAGTGAGGAGTAGGGGTTACATATAGTCTTGTATAACATTTTATTACCCCAACCCACTAGTATAGAGAAGTCTGTGGGCTGCTGTCTTTGCACAATATTAAACATAGCATACAACTATATTTGTTTTATTATTATTATTTTCCAGTTATTGAAGTGTTTGTGTACAATGCTAAATAAAATTAAGATAGGGGGCAGAGCTTGGTGTTATAATGTGCTGGGTTGGCCTACAACATAAATTATATTTAAGTGCAGATCCCTTAAACCTCCTCTCTTCAAGAAAATCTATGTTCTCCTTGGTTAGTTTCCATTCCTTAAATCTGTCGCTTATACCCTCTTAACACATTTAGTTGCCCCACAGGACACTTTACTCTCTTACTGTCAAATTATACCGCTTTCCTGAACTCTCACTATTTGCTGTTTTCCCCCAGGCTGCCCTATGTTGTGCTTTTATGTTCCAACTCTTCTAAATTGCAAATATTTAGTAGTTCCATTAACATCTTCTTCCTATGCAGTTTGTCTTATTTGCTGTTAAGATTCCAATAAGCCGTGGAATTGGGAAAATGTTTTAAGGAGGTGTTTCTTGATAAAGCACTTGTTTGCACAATGTATTGGGTAATGGGAGTATCACAGCCAATTCGAGATTACACAATAAATGGGAGGTGTTTGTATACGATGGTATTTTTTTCTTTTCTTATTTCACTCAAACATTTTCTGCTCAGTAGACAAGAACTTTGAACAAGACCATAATGACCCGCATTGTCTTCGTTTGGGCAATCGTACTTACAATATTCTGGTTACAGGGCGTCGTGCTTGGCACTGCTGAAGAAGCATGCCCAGGTAAGTCACTTACTTTGAAAGAATGTATAATTTAAAGCGACCCCATACTTCTTAAGTCACAGGATAGAAGAATGGATGAGTGCTACATGGAATCTTTAACCCCTTAAGGACACAGGACATGCGTGACATGTCACGATTCCCTTTTATTCCAGAAGTTTGGTCCTTAAGGGGTTAAAGACATTTCATTAGACAGCAAGGTAGTAATGTGTTGAAACCCTCCACCAACAGTGGAATTCTAGCTTTGTCTGTTTAGATTTTCATTTTCATGGAAATAGCATCTCAATGGGAAAATATGAGGTTGACATTATTGTTTTCCGAATATATTATTTGCTGATACTGTGTAGTGTAATTTTATTTATTTCTTACAGCTAAACTGCCAGAAACAATGTTAATACACAGATCAGGATCATTTGTGGATTGCAATTTAATGTTTAAAACGAATGTATGTTTGTGTGCATTATGGCATGACAGGGGGCATATCATTATTATTTTTATTTTATTTCTTAAGCTTAACATTTTTTAGAAAGAAAATGTCATTACTAAATGTGTTTCTTTCCAACATTTGATCTGGCAAATTAAATAGAACATTAGAATACAAGAAATCAGTTTGCGTTACTTGCTCCCATTTTATATAATATGTATTTGGGTCATTTTGTGAATGCTGTGTCTTGCCAAGGTTTGACATGAGGGCCAGACTGTGAGCTGATGTGGTGGGGTATTTTGTGTAAATAGATTGGTTTAATTGTGTTTTGTTGTGGTGTAATGTATGACCAGAGACTGTAGAGAGTGAGAGTGTGTGTAGGGGTCATCATGTTAATAGAGGCTGTAGCCAGTGTGTTCATAGGGGCTGTACTGTATGTGAGAACTGCAGTGTATGAGGGGTGCAGTATATAAATGTGTTGGGAGGTAAAACATATACTTTGCATGGTAGGGCAGATGGGAGCATATATATCTCTCTCTATATATTTATTTCTTTTTTAAATTCAATACATAAACTTTATATTCTTACCATTGGCAAAGGAGGGGAAGGGGGTGCATTGTAAACCCTGGTGGCCCTCCTTCCATTTTTTCTTTATTTAAGTGCCTGTGGGCTGGTGAATGAGATTCTTGATATAATACATTTATCTCTCGCATTTCTTTACAGAAGTGAAAGTAATTGGGATTGGTGACACCGATAAGCTGACCATTCTCAGAGGATGTAATGGTTTCCCAGGAACCACCGGGCCAAAAGGAGACACTGGGTCGGCGGGCGAGAATGGTGCGTAAAAATCATATGGAGGGTGAGATGTATCCAATTGTTCTGTTCTAAAAGGTGGTGAAAAAGTGTAAAAGGGGATAAGTAACAAATATAATGCATCTACTGGTTTCACTGGTTTCCAAAGTGACTGCCCCACTTATAGTAATATAAAACACTTTTTTTTTTTAAGAACAGAACGCTTTGAGAAATGTATCCCCAATATATCAATGAAAGCACGAGACCCTTAAGACAATAATTTATAACATCTCTCTATGGTGACCAGTCAAAGAAATCTCTACACAGTAAATATTACATGAGAGAAGTTCACTAAGACACAATCAATATGTTATTAATCAGAGCTTCAATGAATAATAAAACACAGTGGACGACTAAAATACTCAACTCATAGGCGTGTAAGATCTGTTGTATGTTGCTGCTGGCGATTTACAAACTTTATTTATCCATTTTTAGGTAAAGATGGGCTTCCAGGACCAGTCGGGGTTCAAGGACCGAAAGGTGGGTGATAAATATCCCATTCCCTAAGAGCACATGATCTGTCGGCATTGTGTATCATCCTGTCCACTTGGGCTATAGAGATTATACAAGGAGCCCCCACTGATGTGGGACACCTGGGAAATCTGCTAATTCATTAGAGAGATTCAATGGCTGAGAAAATTGTTTAGTAATTGGTAAATAAGTGTTAGGATAAAAGGTGAAATATTAATAGTTAAAGGAACACTATAGTGCTAGTGTGGCTATTTAAGTGAACGGCCCCATGAGTTTACTTACTTTTTCTCCAATAAAGCTCCTCTGGTGGCCATCAGAGTGAATGACATGAAAAGTGTTCGTAGCCTAGGCAATAATGTAAACACTGTCTTATCTCTGAGATCTCTGCTAAGAATGCACAGACAGGCTCAAGACACCAGAACCACTGCATTAATCTGCAGTGGTGCTGGTGACTATAGTATTCCTTTAAGTATTACATAATTTTGTGACACAACTTTATCAAATCTAAAGATTACTACCTGTAGCAAGTGGAGGGTAATCTGATACCAGATACTTTTCCTTTTCCAGAGGTTGTGCAGTGTTTTTGGCAGTTTGATGTTTTGTTCAGACTTCTGCATTCAGTTTCAAAAGGAATCGCAATTCATCGAATTTTGGGCGATTAGAGGGTGATCCAAATTCCACAACTCCGATCGTGAAACAAGCAAAACAGTTTCATTTGTTTGGGGATATGGAGTTCTGTCTGTGGGACAAAGAAAAGAGATTCATGTTGGGAAAAATGTAATTGTTAAAAAAAAAAAAATATGTTCATGTCAGAATTTGCTTTTTTCATACAGGCGATGCTGGAGAAAAAGGAATTAAAGGTGAAAGGGGTAAGTCTTTCCAAGCTTTTTTTTTATTCCTATAAATGTTCATTTAGTCAGGTTGTACACACAGCCAGAGTCTCACATTATAAAGTGTCCCACTATGTGAATTGATACAGTAAAGATTTTCACCAGATCCTTAAAACAAGTAAGAAAAGAAAAAAAGACATTAAGAACAAAGCACAGAAGTGACAGGAAAGAGAGATGGATCAAAGGGAGAAAGGAGGGAGAGGGAATTGGTTTACTATTTTACGTTTCATAAACTGACCATCCTAGCAGTGACTTTACTACTCCCAAGGTCAATATAATAAAATAATCTACAGCTATGTCTCCAAGAAACATATTATCATTAATTATGGTTAAAATTCATACATCTGAACTGTCCATATTTAGAAAGCACAGTCCCTATTCTGGGTCTAAATCCCTCTGTCCCTCTTTTCTCTCCTAATCTTCCTCTTTTCTAGGAGCTCCCTATTGTTGGTGTGTCTGAGTGTATAACAGAGCTCCCCAGCAATAATACTCCCAGTAATGTGTCTGAGTGTATAACAGAGCTCCACAGCAATAATACTCCCAGTAATGTGTCTGAGTGTATAACAGAGCTCCACAGCAATAATACTCCCAGTAATGTGTCTGAGTGTATAACAGAGCTCCACAGCAATAATACTCCCAGTAATGTGTCTGAGTGTATAACAGAGCTCCACAGCAATAATACTCCCAGTAATGTGTCTGAGTGTATAACAGAGCTCCACAGCAATAATACTCCCAGTAATGTGTCTGAGTGTATAACAGAGCTCCACAGCAATAATACTCCCAGTAATGTGTCTAAATGTATAACAGAGCTCCACAGCAATAATACTCCCAGTAATGTGTCTGAGTGTATAACAGAGCTCCACAGCAATAATACTCCCAGTAATGTGTCTGAGTGTATAACAGAGCTCCACAGCTAATAATACTCCCAGTAATGTGTCTTAGTGTATAACAGAGCTCCACAGCAATAATACTCCCAGTAATGTGTCTGAGTGTATAACAGAGCTCCATAGCAATAATACTCCCAGTAATGTGTCTGGGTGTATAACAGAGCTCCACAGTAATAATACTCCCAGTAATGTGTCTGAGTGTATAACAGAGCTCCACAGCAATAATACTCCCAATAATGTGTCTGAGTGTATAACAGAGCTCCACAGCAATAATACTCCCAGTAATGTGTCTGAGTGTATAACAAAGCTCCACAGCAATAATACTCCCAGTAATGTGTCTGAGTGTATAACAAAGCTCCACAGCAATAATACTCCCAGTAATGTGTCTGAGTGTATAACAGAGCTCCACAGCAATAATACTCCCAGTAATGTGTCTGAGTGTATAACAGAGCTCCACAGCAATAATACTCCCAGTAATGTGTCTGAGTGTATAACAGAGCTCCACAGCAATAATACTCCCAGTAATGTGTCTGAGTGTATAACAGAGCTCCACAGCAATAATACTCCCAGTAATGTGTCTGAGTGTATAACAGAGTTCCACAGTAATAATACTCCCAGTAATGTGTCTGAGTGTATAACAGAGCTCCACAGCAATAATACTCCCAGTAATGTGTCTGAGTGTATAACAGAGCTCCACAGCAATAATACTCCCAGCAATGTGTCTGAGTGTATCACAGAGCCCCACAGCAATAATACTCACAGTAATGTGTCTGAGTGTATAACAGAGCACCACTGCAATAATACTCCCAGTGATGTGTCTGAGTGTATAACAGAGCTCCACAGCAATAATACTCCCAGTGATGTGTCTGAGTGTATAACAGAGCTCCACAGCAATAATACTCCCAGTAATGTGTCTGAGTGTATTACAGAGCTCCACAGCAATAATACTCCCAGTAATGTGTCTGAGTCTATAACAGAGCTCCACAGCAATAATACTCCCAGTAATGTGTCTGAGTGTATAACAAAGCTCCACAGCAATAACACTCCCAGTAATGTTTCTTTAAACTACATTAAATGTGTTTAGAAATCGGTCTGTGTAAATAAGATACATTGTTTTTGTTATAAATTACATTTACTTGTATAAATTGTTATTAGTCAGTCACTTCAAATTTATTAGTAAAGCCTCGCCCAACTCACACCCAGAACAGCCTCCTTGTCACCCCCCCACTCACACCCCTAATTGTCCCTCTTAGTCCATTGAAATGTTGAGAGTTATGCAAACTGCTGGTTCAACTGAATAATGAATATACCCAGAAATTGTCCTGTTTTAGAGTGTTGTATCCCAGACTGCATGAGCTACAGGAAGCACTGTTTCTACAAAATGTTATGCCAATTGGTCCAAAGATTGACCATGAAATTACCTGTATTATCATTCAACAGGAGAGAAAGGAGAAGCGGCTAAAGCAATCGATTCATTATATGGTGAGTTGGCAAGGTTTAGACACATGACATCAATGACACTTTGTAACAGAGCGTGACTTTTATTTGGAAGAATACAGTTATGGTCGCTTATTGTAACTCAGGTGTAAAAATACCAAAGTAAAAAAAAAAGGCTAAGACTTATCAACTATAACAAGCACTTAATTTGTTCAGCTGTAGTGATGTCCCGAACGGTTCGCCGAATGGTTCGCGAACGGTTCGCCATGAACGGTTCACCACGGACTCATCATTGAGTAAACTTTGACCCTGTACCTCACAGTCAGCAGACACATTCCAGCCAATCAGCAGCAGACCCTCCCTCCCAGATCCTCCCACCTCCTGGACAGCTCACTAAGAATGCAGCTTCACAATGAATGTAAAATGGATGCTGTCCAGGAGGTGGGAGGACCTGGGAGGGAGGGTCTGCTACTGATTGGCTGGAATGTGTCTGCTGACTGTGAGGTATAGGGTCAAAGTTTACTCAATAATGAGTCCGTGGCGAACCGTTCGCGAACCGTTCGGCAAACAGTTCGGGATATCACTATTCAGCTGTAATCTGTTTGCATATCTACTCGGTTCACCAAAATTCAATAGAAAATAGAATTTTTGTTTAATGAATTTTGGATGACCATTTAGCTCTATGGGAAGGGATATTGTTTCATTAATAACAGCAGGAGTTATCCAACCAATGAATAGATGGCACTGAATACAATTCATTCACCAGCCCATTTGTTAATTCAATAATTTGCTAATAGTTCGACCTATATTTCGTTTCAGACTAAATGAATCGCGAACAAAATTTTCGTACATTTTTCAAATCATCCAGAAATGAATGCACACGTCTAGTTATTTGTAAGGATTCAGCTGGCATTTTTGAGAATGTATCAATTTTCTGTTTTGCATCATTCACACACACAATGAAGCCAGTTCCACCAATACATGGGTTGCCAGGAAAAAGATCGATTATAGTTTTAACAAACATCTTACAAAATGTATTTCAGAGGATCCACATTGGAAAATAGTTTATTTGGTTATGGTTTTTAAAACGTCAACTCACAACAAATCACTGCTTAGTGAATGAACAGAAAGAAAACCAGAAAATATATGCCACTTAATGCTTGCTGAAGAACGTGAACATATCTTCTGTTTGTTCCAATTCATCTCTTGTTCTCAGCTGCCCGGAACTGTAAGGAGCTTCAGGAACAGGGGGCGGTACTAAGTGACTGGTATACAATATATCCAGATGGCGAGACCCCACTCAAGGTGCTGTGTGACATGCATACTGATGGAGGTGGATGGATAGTAAGTACAGGGCACAGAATCATAAATACAGTATTTAATCCTCTGTCATCTAGCTCCGGGATACTGTAACTCTACAGTATTCATAGAGCATGATCTTAAGGGTTGTTCTTATGGAGGTATAATATTTTCCATAAGTATTATAATAAGGCATTGATTTATATGCAGATCTCTAAAGAGTGGACCCCAAAAGAAAACACTTAAAGGACCACTATAGTGCCAGGAAAACAAACTTGTTTTCCTGGCTCTATAGGATCTTTGGGTGCCCCCCACTCTCAGGATCCCCCTCCTGCCGGGCTCTAGGGGGAGGAAGGGGTTAAACACTTACCTTTCTCCAGCACCGGGCTCCCTCGGCGTTGGGGACTCTCGTCCCTCTTCCGACATCATCCCCTGAATGCGCATGCGCGGCAAGAGCCGTGCACGCATTCAATCAGTCCATGGGAAGGCATTTCTCAATGCTTTCCTATGGACGCGTCTTCTCACTGTGAAAATCAGTGAGAAGTGCGGAAGCACCTCTAGCGGCTGTCAATGAGACAGCCACTAGAGGCTGGATTAACACTAGTGTAAACATAGCAGTTTCTCTGAAACTGCTATGTTTACAGCAGGCAGGGTTAACCCTAGATGGACCTGGCACCCAGACTACTTCATTAAGCTGAAGTGGTCTGGGTACCTACAGGGAGTGCAGAATTATTAGGCAAATGAGTATTTTGACCACATCATCCTCTTTATGCATGTTGTCTTACTCCAAGCTGTATAGGCTCGAAAGCCTACTACCAATTAAGCATATTAGGTGATGTGCATCTCTGTAATGAGAAGGGGTGTGGTCTAATGACATCAACACCCTATATCAGGTGTGCATAATTATTAGGCAACTTCCTTTCCTTTGGCAAAATGGGTCAAAAGAAGGACTTGACAGGCTCAGAAAAGTCAAAAATAGTGAGATATCTTGCAGAGGGATGCAGCACTCTTAAAATTGCAAAGCTTCTGAAGCGTGATCATCGAACAATCAAGCGTTTCATTCAAAATAGTCAACAGGGTCGCAAGAAGCGTGTGGAAAAACCAAGGCGCAAAATAACTGCCCATGAACTGAGAAAAGTCAAGCGTGCAGCTGCCACGATGCCACTTGCCACCAGTTTGGCCATATTTCAGAGCTGCAACATCACTGGAGTGCCCAAAAGCACAAGGTGTGCAATACTCAGAGACATGGCCAAGGTAAGAAAGGCTGAAAGACGACCACCACTGAACAAGACACACAAGCTGAAACGTCAAGACTGGGCCAAGAAATATCTCAAGACTGATTTTTCTAAGGTTTTATGGACTGATGAAATGAGAGTGAGTCTTGATGGGCCAGATGGATGGGCCCGTGGCTGGATTGGTAAAGGGCAGAGAGCTCCAGTCCGACTCAGACGCCAGCAAGGTGGAGGTGGAGTACTGGTTTGGGCTGGTATCATCAAAGATGAGCTTGTGGGGCCTTTTCGGGTTGAGTATGGAGTCAAGCTCAACTCCCAGTCCTACTGCCAGTTCCTGGAAGACACCTTCTTCGAGCAGTGGTACAGGAAGAAGTCTGCATCCTTCAAGAAAAACATGATTTTCATGCAGTACAATGCCCCATCACACGCGTCCAAGTACTCCACAGCGTGGCTGGCAAGAAAGGGTATAAAAGAAGAAAATCTAATGATATGGCCTCCTTGTTCACCTGATCTGAACCCCATTGAGAACCTGTGGTCCATCATCAAATGTGAGATTTACAAGGAGGGAAAACAGTACACCTCTCTGAACAGTGTCTGGGAGGCTGTGGTTGCTGCTGCACGCAATGTTGATGGTGAACAGATCAAAACACTGACAGAATCCATGGATGGCAGGCTTTTGAGTGTCCTTGCAAAGAAAGGTGGCTATATTGGTCACTGATTTGTTTTTGTTTTGTTTTTGAATGTCAGAAATGTATATTTGTGAATGTTGAGATGTTATATTGGTTTCACTGGTAATAATAAATAATTGAAATGGGTATATATTTGTTTTTGTTAAGTTGCCTAATAATTATGCACAGTAATAGTCACCTGCACACACAGATATCCCCCTAACATAGCTAAAACTAAAAACAAACTAAAAACTACTTCCAAAAATATTCAGCTTTGATATTAATGAGTTTTTTGGGTTCATTGAGAACATGGTTGTTGTTCAATAATAAAATTAATCTTCAAAAATACAACTTGCCTAATAATTCTGCACTCCCTGTATAGTTGTCCTTTAACAGGTTAACACAGAAACACATCTCAAATAGAATACAGCTTACTTTAAATGTGTATCATGGACTTTAAACCACAGAGAAAGCTCTGTTGATTTGTAATGTGGCAGCAACAAGGTGGATGAAATAATATTAAAGAAATTGATACAAAGATGTGATGATGATGGAGAATCTCAGATAAATAATGAATATGAGAATGACGTGGGTGAATTAGTAAAATGGCACACTGGGCATTATTTAGAAGACCGTTAGCTCTCAGTCAATGGTGATGCTCTGAGTCCTCATTCTGCTAATGTTCTGTGTTCAGTAATTGTTACAGATGGTTCTATTCATATTTAGTTTGTACTTACATGAATGGAGCAAGGCAAAGATTTGTCCCTCTAAGGGCCCAGACCTCATGACTCAATCCCCAGCCATCCAGTAAAGATGGAGTAATTGAATGTCTCCTTTTGGTCGGTGTAGGTTTTTCAGAGACGTTGGGATGGAGGAGTGGATTTCTTCCGTGACTGGAAATCGTACAAGATGGGGTTTGGCAGCCGCCTCGGAGATTTCTGGTTGGGAAATGATATTGTTCACATGTTAACGTCATCAGGTAATGATATTCCCCAGATATACCAATTCTACCCTTTCATCTGGTATACAGAATGTACATCTTCTGCTAAAATACAGAGATATTAGTAATTCAGCATTAAACGGTCTTTTAGGAAGTCAGCAACATTGTACATTTTATGAACAGGTTGAGTAGAGTGATAATACACTTTTATTTTGTGGAGGCGGGTTGTCACATTTCAGGCACACGTGACCCTTTACACAAACAAGTGTCTTTTAAACTTCTATGTCTTAGATTTGCTTAAAGGACAACTATCACCAACAATGATTATCTATGGTCTTCCCTAATTCTGTGACTTACTGTCAGCTGTCAGCTTTCAAAAAATTTCCACCAGTGGAGGAACTAATGCAGAGAAGGCCATGGTGGAAAAAGTGTTTTTGGGTCTCCCTCTAGCGCAAGAGTGGCGAAAGGATAGATCCATATCTGTCATACAACTCCCATGATGCTATGCCAGCCGGGGATCTACCATTTGCCCATCCTTGCAGGGTTGTATTTGAGATGTGTGTTTGAATTAAAGCATTTTCTTGTATAGGGTATGTGTATGTATGTAGAGGTGTATTTGTATGTGCTGTTCCCATGGAATGCAGTGGTATACTTGTTTGTAGTGTTTACGTTTGCATGCTGTGGTGTGTTTGGATGTAGTGTTGGTTTTTAAATGATGTACATTTGTGTTTAGTATTAGTGTATGAGTGAAGGGATGTGTTTGTATATAATTTTGGAGTTTGAATCCAGGAATGTGTTTGCATTTTGTGTACGTGTTTGATTGCTGGGATGTTTGCATGCACACTGCCACATACATACATGCACACACATATAAATACAGATTACCACACAAATATACACATATAAACACACTGACACAGACAAACACATTCATATACACAATGACACACACACACACACACACACACAAATAGACACACAAATACACACACTGACACATGCACACAGCTTGGCACATACACGCACAACTCAACACGTGACATATACACACACTGACACAAGTACACAGACCTTGACAAAGAGATACACACACAGATACACACACTGACACATAAACACACATACACAGCTTGGCACATACACACACTGTGATAAATATACAGACCTTGACAAACAGATACATACACACACCTTGACACACAGATACTCACACACACATATACACACAGATGCACACACTGGCATATACACACACCTTGACACACATGTACAAACACTGACACACACACATACACAACATAATTTTTATATTTGCGGCAACCCTCCTGCGAGCATATATTTTGTCTGCAGGAGGGTAGCTTGCTTGGGGTGCTGTTGGCTGAGGTTGATGGGTGTGTGTGGTCTGCAGCAGCTCATTCCTTCCTTCTCTCCCCCTACTGCCTGTGCCTCCTCTCCCTTACACGTGGTGCTCTCTATATCTGGAGGAAGTTACCTGCTGTCACTTCCTCCCAGGCTACTGATACTACTTGCTGAATAGAGGTCCAGTTGCGCTCTTAATGGTTTGCACACTTAAAGGGCCACAATATCCATAGGCTGGCCCCAAGTGCATGAGATACCTGATGGGGTCCCCCCAGTGGCTGAGCTCCAGTGGTGGTAGTTCCACCATTGTGTTCAACCCAAGGTACAAGGTGAATATGACTGAAGGGTCCTGTCATTTACAAAAGGCAGGGGTGAGTTTTTCTTTTTTTCCTTACATATTCTATATTTAAAATATATAGCTGTTTGCTTTCAAAACTTGGCGAAAGTGAAATGATTAATATATCAATACATAGCGTTAAGGTCACAGTAGAACTTTTAGAGTTGTATTGAAGGGAAAAAAGTGACTTTTTATAGGTTATTTAGAAGATAACTGGCATTGCATTTAAATTGTTGGTGTTATTAAACATATATTTACAATGAAATAATGATTTTTTTAAATTATGGATATTTATTTTTAAGAAGTCAACTTTTATGTGGTTGAGCGGCCATGTTGGGTCAAACTCTACTCTCATCTGACCAGCTGCTGCTCAACCTAACTTATTTGGTGTTGCAGGTTCACACAGAGAAATCATAGCACCAGCAGGTTAGGTTGAGCAGCAGTTGCTCGGCTGACAGTAGAGTCTGACCCAACATGGCCGCTCAGTTAGATAAACATTGCCATTTAAAAAAATAAATAAATTATATATATAATTAAAAAATTATATATATAATTAAAAAAAAATTTTTTTTAAAGTTTATTAACTGTAATACATGAGAAATGAAAGTTTGACAGTTGTCCTTTAAAAGATTCATAATCAGCTCTCAAACCAAATAACACAATGCAATGCGTAGGGATGTATTGCAAATATAAATGGCAATTTTTACAAAATTGGAAGTTAAAAACATTAGTAAAAGAAGGGCAAATTTTTATGAAATTGTTTTAATTAATCTAAAAACACATTTCCCACAATTAATTACCTCCTCCTCCTAATCACAGGTAAATGGGAACTGCTTATTGATCTAATGGACTTTGAAAATACTAGACATTACGCCACATATTCTTCGTTTCAAATCTTGGGGGAGTCGGAACAATACAAGCTGATACTTGGAGCATTCAAGGATGGGAATGCAGGTGAGGTGGCTAGCTTTTGTAAAGTGACACTCCACACCCCTTATGCACTTGGCTTGCTGCAGTGGCATACTAAGGGGGGGTGGAGGAGTGGGGGTGCACTTTATGTTAAAGGGGTGCAGGTTTTTTTTTTAATTAAGGGGGGTATGCACTTAATGTTAATGGGGTGCCAAACAAAGGGTCCGCCCCGGGTGCCAAATGCTCTAGGTACGCCCCTGGCTTGCTGAAATGCTCTAAGTGTGAAGAGTGTGTCCTCTTGTTCATTTTACAGAAAGTGCTGATTTAAATAGAAATTGACAATTTTGTAAATTAACCTGGATACAGCCCTCCTGACTGTCACTCAGACAACCGGTCCTGTTACTGCCTGGTTTGGTTAGCTCAGTGAAGCTAAACTTACAACGCAGCAATTGCCTAGAGAACCTGCCTTGCAAAGACTTCTCATTGAGTTGAATTGGGAAGTCTGTGATTGGACAGCCACAGGAAGTCTGGGTGAGGTCAGAGGGGGAGGACTTACAAAGGCTTCATGTTTTGCAGCTCTTGCAAGCTGTTTTAAGATATACCCCCAAGGAAGAATTGCATAATTACATGCTTGCATGTTTTCTTGGGGTATATTTACTAAACAGTGATTTTTTAAAATGTGCTGTTTAATGTCCCCTTAATGGTTTGCATCATATCCATCATAATAACTCATTGCACAGTAAGAGGAGTAGGCTCTCCGGATTAAAGACATCATGGGCGTCTCTTTCTACTTATACAAATGTTTAGAATAGAAGGTGACTGCTCTTGTGTCCGTTTCATCTTTTTTTAGGTGATTCTCTGACAGATCATAATAATATGAAATTTTCCACCAAAGACAAGGACTCTTCTTCATCAAACTGTGCAGATATATACAAAGGAGCCTGGTGGTACAACGCCTGCCATGTTTCCAATCTGAATGGGCGCTACCTGTTGGGGCAACACGCCACCTTTGCAGATGGAATCAACTGGAACTCCAGTAAAGGATATTATTACTCCTACAAACATTCAGAAATGAAGATCAGGCCTGTGAACTAATTAACAAAAAAACACATAAATAATAAAAACAAAATGGATATTAACACATTCTTAACATTACAAACCTATCATCATCACGCTATTTAATCCAATTATCTACACAAATATAGCAATTTTCTCAAAAAGCATTAAACTTTTTTATTTATTTTTTAATCTTGTCCAAAAAGTAACATTTGAAGAACATGCTAAACTTCACGAGGATTATTTCAAAATTTTCATGTTTGGAATATTAAGAAAATTTTCATGTTTTAGAATTTTAATACATTTTGATAAAATTTGTATTGATTTGAACGTATAAACATACGTATAAAATGTGTATTCCATAAAATATAGGCACTGACATGCAGTTTTATATTTTTAGATATGTATTCCATTTTTTTCACAATTTGAGAAGCTTAGTGTTTTACATATATGTGCTGATTGAATAAATAAATAATATCATATTAATACAACTAATGTGTGTTCCTTTCATCTATTATCTACAAATATTGCTGTTAAAATTATAATTATCCAATGGGAAGATACGTGATACTCATCGCAAAAATTAATGGTATTATATATACTTTGGTTAATGTTTATGCACCAAATTCGTGCCCAGGAGATTTTTTGGACAAAATGATGGAAAAAGTTGATGAATTAGCATGTGGTAATATCATAATTGGGGGAGACTTCAATTGTGTATTGGATCCAGTACGGGATAAAAGCCATAAAAATGCTAGAGACCATAAAATTGCAAATACCTATGCTTCTGATTTTTCTAAATTTCTAGATAGGAATTCCCTATTTGATTGTTGGAGGACCTTGAATCCTAGTGAGAGAGATTATACTTTCTTTTCACATGTTCACCAGACCTATTCTCGAATAGATATGTTTCTGGTGAAAGCGGGGTTTTTGAGTTCTATTATTAAATCCAATATAGGATCCATAGTTGTATCAGATCATGCACCAGTATTCATTAAGGTTAAGTTAAAAGGTGGTCTTAGACCAAGGACAAGGTGGAGACTTAATGAAAGCCTCCTGAAATCAGAGTGCAATATTGATTTTTTGTCATCTGAAATGGAAAATGTTTTGATCACCAATGATAATGGGGAAGTTTCCACGGCAACGGTATGGTGTACCTTTAAAAGCTTTATAAGGGGATTATTGATTAAACTTGGTTCAGAATCTAAGAGGAGGAAGGGAGAATCTTTGCAGGAGTTAAGAATAAAACTGGCAAATAAGGAACGTCTAAATAAAAATATGGTGAATAAAGATTTAACCGAAGAAATAGCTAAATTAAGGGAAACTATTAAAGATAGAATCTATGATTTGGTCAATAAAAATATACTATTCCTTAAACAAAGATGGTACCATAATAATAATAAAATAAATAAAGATCTTTCTAATAAAATTAAAAATAATCTCAAAGATAAATTTATAAAAAAAATTGTTTTAGGTGATAAACATTTAGTGTCACCAAATTATATTGTAAATGCATTTGCGGAATTTTATAAATCTCTATATAGTCTAAAGGAGGTAGGGAGGAGTAGAGAAGAAATGGATACATTTCTGAGTAACCTTAAATTACCAAAAATTAATCAAAGGAAGTTGGAATCGCTGAATGCCCCATTTTTACTATCAGAAGTAACCGAAGTAATAGATAAGTTAAAATTGAATAAGGCCCCAGGCCCAGATGGCTTTTCAACAATGTTTTATAAAACCTTTTCTAGACTCATTTCCCCTATCCTTCTAGAGATGTTTACGAAGGCGTCCGAGGATACCCCTTTCCTTAATGAGATGTTATTGGCTTCAATCATTCCTATACCTAAAGTAGGGAAAGATCTAACACTTATAACTAACTATAGACCTATATCTCTCATTAACCTAGATATAAAGATATTCTCTCAAATATTATCTAATAGATTTAAAATGGTAATTGGAGAATTGATTGATGTTGATCAGTCTGGATTCGTGCGAGGGAGAGGTACTACAGATAATACGCGTAGGACATTTAACTTAATACATAGAATAAATGAGCATAAATGGGGATCTGTTATTATGGCCCTCGATGCTGAGAAGGCCTTTGACAGAGTCAATTGGAGATTCCTGGACTCTGTCATGGGCCAATTTGGCTTGGAGGGTCAGTTTAGACATAAAACTATGTTGCTATATGGGAATTCTACAGCTAAAATAATTAACCCTCTTGCTGAGTCTGACCATTTTGAGGTCAAAAATGGTACTAGACAGGGTTGCCCTTTGGCCCCCCTGCTATATATTCTTACAATTGAACCTTTGGCCACCTTGATCAGACAGGATACTAATATAAAAGGGGTCAAATCTCACAATGATTTCCCTTTTTGCAGATGATGTCCTCCTTACCTTGACGGACCCGATGGTTTCAATTCCATCGGTATTGGATGCTATATCCAACTATAGTAGCTTCTCCAACTATAAGATCAATATGAAAAAACTCAAATTCTAGCCTCTTTTTTATCTGAGGCCCAGAAAGATTTTTTGGCTGCACATTTCCAATTTTCATGGGCAAAAGATACTATTGGCTATTTGGGGATTAAAATATCTTTTGATATAGAGAGGACGATACAAACAAATTATGATACATTATTAAGAGACTTGCAACAACTGGTATATAATTGGAGGAAGATTGAGTCCTCATGGATAGGAAGACTAAATATGATTAAGGCTTTTTTGATACCTAAACTTATATACTATTTTAGGGCGATTCCTTATAGACTGGGGAAGGGTACTCTTAATTGTTTTCAAACTTTGATTTCCAAATGCATTTGGGCAAATAAACCACCTAGGATAGCTTTTGACACTCTTCGAAGGAGCTATCAGAAGGGTGGTATAGCATTTCCAGATGTCGATAAAATTCATGAAGCATGTATGGCGACTCATCTATTACAGTGGTTAGATAGGGAACAGGGATCATATCATGGTTTACCCTAGAACAGGAGGATAGCCCTAGAAGTAAATTGTTTGTTCTTTTTTGGATGGGTTTGTTAAATTTGGGTGAATTGGATACCAAGAATTTTTCGAACCGAATATTGATAGATATGGTCAAGACTTCTAGAATTCTAAATAAAAAATTGAAGTTGGAAGATAAGTTATTATATAGAGTTCCATTAGTGGTCCTACAATATATAATGGATAATATAAATGTTCAATCTTGGATACATCTAGGTCTAACGAAGATCTCGGATTTATGGGATGGATCTAAACCCATCCCATTTACACAATTGCAAGAAAAGTTTAATCTTCCCCCCAGAGATCTTTTCCAATATTTAAGGATTAAGAATTTTATACTTTCTCGGACCATACTTAAGGACCATATTGTTAATCCCCTTATTATATTATATAAAAAGAAGGGTGGGATCTCTAGATTTATTAAGGTGCTAGAATCAATGGAACAAAATTCTCATGCTACCTCTTTTGTTAAATGGGAACAAGATATTGGGGAATCCTTTTCACTTCTGGAATGGACCAAAGCTACACTCCTAGTTAAACGTTGTATACATAGTGTCTCTCTTTATGAAACACATTTAAAGATAATATATAGGTGGTATATGGTACCGACTAGACTATACAAAATATCATCTGTCCATTCTAAGAATTGTTGGAGATGTGGAACTGAGGAGGGAACTATTTACCACATATGGTGGGAGTGTCATGGTCTGGATAATATAAAAATTCAAATGTTTGGCCTTATTAATTCTATTTTTAAGGAGATAAAAGAAATTAGTCCTCAACTTTTTCTCTTCAACATTGGTTTTCCTTCACAGGACAAATATCAAAAATATCTCTTGACTCATATATTTTTTGCTATTAAAATATGTATAGCTAGGGCTTGGAAATCTTCTATCCCATTATTATGGCACAATATTATGGAGCAAATAGAGTATCAATATAGGATGGAATCAATTCCCTTTTTTGGTACTAGAGATGTGGCCAAATTATGGTTACCCTGGACAAATAGACAGAATTCATGATTATGCATTGTGGTCCCCCCCTTATCGAGTCTCAGAGGAGTAATTATTTGTATTATAACTATTTATATTTTTCTAATTAATTAAAAAAAAAAATTTTCAATGTGATATCTATACCATGGGATATGTTGGCGTTAACCCGTCTTTGATAGCGATTGGCATTGGACAAGTGTAGTGTGATGGAAATACACATTGGGTGCATGATGGCTCTCAACGAATACACTGTACTATATGTGTAATCATTCAGTGTTTAATACTATACAGTGCCTATATTATAATATACTGCCTACCTATCTATGCTTTTAGCAGTTACATTGATTTTTTTTTTCTTTTATTATCTTATTGTCCCTTTTTTTTTGTGTGTTTAACCTTTTTGCTGTCCTTTTTAACATTTATCTTTTGTATTTGGTTGTATTAATGTGCTGGAGGATTGCCTTTGGGATACCTCATATGCAAATGTTAAAATTTCATATAATAAAATAAAGAGATAAAAAAAAAAAAAATTATAATTATCAAAAGAAAGAAGCCCAGACTGGGTCACATGAATGGTGCTGGTAATTATTAATTACAAAAACTGCACTTTTACGTATTAATGTTTATATTTGGCTTTCGGTTTTTATTCGATCTTCTAATATCAAATGACAACAAAATTTTCAAAAAACAATAAAGTAACCACAACAGTTTTTACCCTGTGTTGATAAAACTTAAATTAATTTAAAAAGTTGTGGTATCATGAAAAAGTTAATGGACATTTAACCATGGAAAATCGAATGAAAGTAATATATTTTATTATATACTAAGTTACAATTGAAGAATAGAGATGTCGCGAACTGTCCGCCGAACTGTTCGCGAACTGTCCGCCGGCGAACAATAGCGTGTTCGCGTTGGGCAAACATATCCGATTTCCGGTCCACCCCTATACGTCATCATTGAGTAAACTTTGACCCGGAACCTCACAGCCAGCAGACACATTCCACCCAATCAGCAGCAGACCCTCCCTCCCAGGAAGTGTCTGCTGACTGTGAGGTTCCAGGTCAAAGTTTACTCAATGATGACGTATAGGGGGCGGACCGGAAATCGGATATGTTCGCCCAACACGAACACGCTATTGTTCGCCAGCGGACAGTTCGCGAACAGTTCGCGAACAGTTCGGCGGACAGTTCGCGACATCTATATTGAAGAATAGATCACTAATCCGATTTAACAAGTGAAGAATGGAGTTGCTAAGCTAACAGTATTTACAGAGGACAGGTTGAGTATTTAAAGAGCTGAGTAAGTAAACTCGAACATCGAATATAATACGCGGAAACTGTCAGGAATTTTCATTAAAATGAGAATTGATGGAAATTCAAAGTGAATTTAAAAGTTAAGCCAGAATCGTCAAACTGGAAAAATTCTACAAGCCAGCAGTAATAATAGATCGGCTTACCTAGAAAATAAAGGGAGCCTTACCCACGTCAGAACAATAATTTTACATAATGTGTAAGACGGCATGACTAACTCTATAATTGAATACATTAGACCATGGATGGAAACAAAATGGATTCCTCTGTATTAAGCAAGACAGTCAAAGTCCAGTTTCTGAAAGGTTAAATTACTTTACTTTTGGCCCTTTCTTAACGCAATAACTGTTTTGTTTAAATGAACAAATAGGAACATTGACCCGGAAAGCAGAAAAAAAACAAACAGAGTTGCCATTAACAAACAAAAACTATCTTCAGTAAGTCTCTAATTTGTGAGAAAGACGGCTATCTAAGAGAGACTATTGATACTGTCCATAAAACCTATCAAGTCTTCTTTTCAGTGTTAGATATTCAGTACTGAGTGAGTGCACCTAGGGGCCAGGCAGGTGAGGGCTTTTCAGTTAATCATTGTATTAACATATGTCCTTGATCTAATGAATTATCCAAATCCTCCCATTCCTTATCATGCTATAATATAATTTCTCCAAATTAGTAAAATTAATTTAAAAAACCCCAAACATTTACTTATTCCTTTCAATAGGACCTTTCTGATTAGTTAAGCACGCTAAAACCTAATACAATTACGCTATTGGGAGATAATTGTCTGTCATTTAGTCCCTTGGTTTTACAATATGACGAGTTAAAATAAGTTACATGCATAGGTACAAGCGAGGTCTTAGACAAGAGACCACAGTGAGACAACATATTGGGGATATCTATGAGTATAGGAAAGGTCATCCCAAAATATTCAATAAATGTGAAAACTGAAAAAAAAACATTTTAATTTATTTTATTTATATATATATATTTTATTCTCTTTTATTTATATATATTTTTCAAGTTAACGTTGTAATCGACAACCCAGTAAAGATGTAACCAGTAACTGACCAACATGAAAACACGCTGTAAACTAGTCGAACTGTATTTTTATTGACATTGTACCTGTACACTTTGGAAAAATGCTAAAAATTGCAACAAAAAAAATTATGTACTTGTTTACTGTATACCGATCGATTATACAAAATAACTATAACACATAGCATACAGAAATTACTTGTTTTCATTTATTAAATTATCCTAGACATCCATATTGCATATTTAATATAATTTTAATATATTTTGAGTCAAATAATTCAGGAATTCGGGGGCATAATATTGTTACATAGTTACATAGTTACATAGCTGAAAAGAGACTTGCGTCCATCAAGTTCAGCCTTCCTCACATTTGTTTTTTGCTGTTGATCCAAAAGAAGGCAAAAAAAAAAAAAAACCAGTTTAAAGCACAATTTTGCAACAAGCTAGGAAAAAAATTCCTTCTTGACCCCGGAATGGCAGTCAGATCCTTGAATATTCTGTTTTTGCAAGATTGCATCTAGTAGCTGTTTGAACATCTGTATGGACTCTGATAAAACCACTTCCTCGGGCAGAGAATTCCACATCCTGATTGTTCTTACAGTAAAAAAACCTTTCCTTTGCCTTAGACGAAATCTTCTTTCTTCTAGTCTAAACGCATGGCCTCATGTCCTAGTGTCCAAGTCCGGTTTGTGAATAGATTTCCACACAATGGTTTGTATTGGCCCCGAATATATTTGTATAATGTTATCATATCCCCTCTCAGGCAGCGTTTTTCTAAACTAAATAGGTTTAAATTTAACCTTTCTTCATAGCTGATATGTTCCATTCCTTTTATTAATTTTGTAGCCCGCCTCTCTGATATTGCTGCAATGGGTTTATTTGGTTGCCATATTATAAATATTTATACATCGCTACTAGACTATTAGACCTTTTAATTCTGCAGATTAATGATAATCAGTCTGATAATAATATTAGTACAGCCATTACTTAGCGACTGGATTTCAGAAGCATTTAACAGTTACTCTCTGCTGTTGCAGTTGGTGAATAGGTGCTAATCACTAACAGTAGAGACAGACATTTTATTGAGTAGCGGCTGACCAGTAAAAAGTAGTGACAAGGCTGGAATTAGCTAAACAGGCTAATTGAATAGACTAATTGGCTCCTATCTTCCATCTGTCATATTTTGGAGAGTCTCATCCTAGGCCTCAAGGTCCAGGCTTTGTCTGTATCTACAGAGGAACACATTTGTCTGATGCAGAAAATGCTTTAATGCTATATGATTGGTGTGCCCTGGTGACTGGACTGATAATTACTTATTTAACATCCATATTAACACTACTGATGTTGGGGTGCTGAGCTCTCTGTGGAATGGTCAGATAATGTAGCAAATGTCCCATATTTTTTCACTCGACATTGGTGTTTCAAGTTACCTGGAAGAAGATAAAATGTTATTACGTGTATGGATTTCTGTGGTTTGTGTAAATCTATGGTCATTTCAGCAGAATCATTGCTCCCAGCACAGCTTTCCATTTTTAGTTTTACCAAACATCACGAGGGTGGTGTCCAATAACAGATGTGGAAACATTCAGTTACATAAATCTTGTTTTTGAGTACATACTGTGGGGATACAATGAGTCTTTATATTAGAGAGAACATTACAAAAGGGTTAAGATATGATCACATGTTCTTATCACATAGTCGTGTTCTCAGTTCAACACAAACTTCAAGGAACGAGATAACTAACCCAGATCAAAATGTATCTTATATTGGTATACACACTGTTACCGGCAATCTCAATTCTGGCTGGGCTTTGTCTTGCTGATGATACTTGCCCAGGTAAGTCACCGAGACATTAGCACAGGGCTACAGCATGTCAAATTACAAAAATTATCTTTTCTTAATTTCACGTCAAGTTTTGTAACAAAGTTGTTCCTTTTTTTTTTTTTTTTGAGCAGTAAATTATTGAGCACATTATCATTTGAAGACATGAAGGGTTAATTCACAAAAAGAGAATTATGGACAATTGAGCAGGGATCTACAAAATAGTCAAAATAGCTTTGCCTGGAAATTGTTTTCAGATTTGATTTAAGATTACATGTTGCAAATTCAAGATCATTCCCCAGCTTTTAGGGTTGAAAGAATAAAATAACGCATTGAGAATATATATCCCAACTCATAAGAGAGAAAATGGAAAATCACATTTTCATTTTAGAATCTGGGAATAAACAGAAATGTTTTTATAATCCTTCAAAGCTGTATAATTCTAGATTTCAGATCAGGAGAATTTCAAAAAAATATAATTTAATCACCTAATTTCTGACTAGAAAATGCTTTTCAGTCAGTTTACAATGCATAATATATATACTGCATAAAGAAAATATTAATAATTATTACTTACTGATATTATCTGTTAAAGTGACACCCCAAGCAAGGCCACTAACTACAAGGAGATCCCATCTCTGTTGCTTAGAAGTACTTGTATGAAGTGTTCCCAAAAGGTGGACACCAACAAGAATGTTTGCATAAGTCCTGAGAAGGTCAATCACAGCTGTCTATGAGGAAGCCTCAAAGTAGTCGTTGGTTTTGCATTTGTGCAAGGGTAGTGCATGTAGTGGTGTGAAGGTGCAAAGTTGTAAATGGGTAAGAATATGGAATTTTAAAGTCAGTTGCTTTGACTGGAGGTCATCAGAGTTTCTGAAGAAGGGGAGGTGAAAGCAGTAACGGCATGTTGAGGAGGGTTTTCACAGTATATCAATATAGGATAATGGGTGTTTTGTGGAAGACCAAAGGGATTGCAATAGAGAAGCCTTGTAAGGGTGACTGAGTTGATAAAGAGGAAGGGGAGATGATAAGTTGATGGATTTTGTATGGATATTATAGGGGTGCACTTAGCATGTTTAGGTCATTGAATTTTTAATTCTCAAGGGAAGAATATGTGCTGGGATCTATAGGTGAAATAGAAAATACATAGTACGGGATGAAAACAGAGGAAATAAAGATGGTTCAGAGTATAGAAAAGTCAGAAAAACACTGGATTTGGTTGGCATTATTTGTAAGATGTGGGAGGATATCTGATATAAAATGATACATTTAGGATTGTTACTTTAACATTGAACATCCTACTTTCAGTGAGCATTTGAAAAATATTTTCATATGTTTTTCAGCTTTTACCAGCTTATTTCTTAGCAGCTTTTATATGGTTTGTTTCAGTTTTTTTACATTTTTTTTTACTCTTTGCAGAGGTGAAGGTTATAGGAGTTGGTGATACAGATAAGCTTACCATACTTAGAGGATGTCCCGGGAGTCCAGGATCTTCTGGCCCAAAGGGAGACCGTGGAACACCAGGAGAGAAAGGTGCACAAGTTTCAGTGTTCTACAGAAGATAAATCGAATATTCACAAAATAAATGTCTCTGTCTCCATATATATCCTCCTAGACCCATGGATAAGAATTTTACAACATTAAAATGTGAACCCATCTGTGTAAAACGTTATTTATTATATGTAATTTGTGTTAATTTAAAACAGAATTTCAGTTACATACACATTTTAATATTTTTCAGGGCGAGAGGGATCCCTAGGAAAAGTTGGACCACAAGGTCAAAAGGGTTGGTGAATAATTACAACACTATTTATATTACATTTAGGACATATTACATTTAGGATGTTTAAACTGAAATTGGATAAATACTTACAAAAACATAACATACAGGGATATAATTTCTAATTAGTGGGGTAATAGCTGATTGATCCAAGGAGACATCTGACTGCTATTTTGGGGTCAAGAAGGAATTTTTTCCTAGTTTGTGGCAAAATTGGAAGTGCTTCAGACCAGGTTTTTTGCCTTCTTTTGGATCAACAGCAACAACATTTCTGAGGAAGGCTGAACTTGATGGACGCAAGTCTCTTTTCAGCTATGTAACTATGTAACTATGTAACTATGTAACTATGACATGGAAAAAGCTTACAAGGCCCTTTTTAAACAAATAAGGGTTTATCAAGAAAACCTTACAGAGCAACAGTAAGGGTTTAACGGTGTCTGGTAAGTATGGTATTGGTAAGTAGATTAAAACATAGAAACATATATTCAGACTGATCATTGGGATTGCTCAGTGGTGACTTGAAGACAGGAAAATGTTGCAGACCAACAGCACAGGTGGATTAGGGCTTCACCTTCGTATAGTGTATAGATACTCCGCAGACATTGAAGACTACAACCAGCTGATTTCTCATGTCTTTATCCAGGGTCCAGAGGGCTCATAGTTTTACAGACTTATGTAGTCCGAGATTATTTGGGTCTTAATCATTAAACTGGGGATTATGGAGTATCTAGAAGATAATAGCACGTTAACTCAAATTAGTGGTGCAGGATTTGAAAAATATTATTTACAATTTAGATATTTGTTATCAGCTCTGTGGAGACTAGTGTAGTTTAAAAATGGTGGAACACTAGACTTAACCGCAGGAATATGCCCACTCTGCCAACTCCTGAGCCAATGCCCAGTTTAACACTATAAGCCTATAGAGGCCTTTTTATAATATGAAACGTTAATCAAGAGAAATTCCAATTTTAGTGTGAGTAGCATATTTTCCGTAGTAGGACATTTAAAGCTATCTGCATTAAGCTTAGCATTCTTATTGTATTTATTTACTTTTTTAAACTTATTTTTACTTTGCTTTTTCAAACAGGAGAGCTTGGAGATACAGCCCTGCTAGTTAGAAAAAGTAAGTGTTTCTGACATTCACACCATACCCTGAAAAGGCTAATTTATCTATCATAATGTTATGAGATAAGGGATATCTTATGTGAAAATCAGGCTGCGAGTATCTCACTGTAGCTGGTAATTCACAAAGTGACGAAAAACTATTTAAAAACACTCACTCACTGACACACACACACATTCACTCACTGACACACACTCAGTCACTGACAGACACACACACACACACACACACTTACTGACAAACATGCACTCACTCACTGATGGACAGACATACACTCACTCACTGACAGACACAGACACTCACTCACATATACACACTCTCACTGACAGACATACACACCGACACTCACTGACAGACACACACACACACACAGACACTTACTGACAAACATGCACTCACTCAGTGATGGACAGACATACAATCACTCACTGACAGACACAGACACTCACTCACATATACACACTCTCACTGACAGACACACACACCGACACTCACTGACAGACACACACACACACACTCACTGACATACACACACTCACTTCGGGGGCCAGGTGCCCCCCGCTTTTGGGCACCTTGAGGATCGGCCCGGTGCTGGGGGCGGCTCAAGAGCCACTCTCCCAAAGCTGCAGCCCCAGACAGATGGAGCCCACGAGGAAGCATCTCGGTGGGTGCCCCCCAGAAGGCCGGTGCCCTATGCGAATGCCTAATTCGCCTAACTGTGGCGCCAGCCCTGACAGCTTGGCTGTTTTAGCTTTAATGTCACAATTAGGATTGTATTTGTTCATCATCCACTGACAATCAGCAAACTGAGGATTGCTCAATATTGTAGCAATTGTGATTGTAAAATGTAACATGTCATACATATTAACAAAAACAGAGAATATGAGAACGGACAAAAGCTTAGAGAAACTCAGAAACTTGCCCTTCGGTAAATCCCCGCTCAGGTCTCAAAACTGTTTTTGTTCATTACAGAGAGCCCCTATTCCAAGGCATTTAATACTGATCCCACCCATAAGAGCAGTCCAGAATCGAAATGCCAACAAGTTCTCTTTGCACGAGAGATACAGTAACCCTGGATGAATGTTTTGGCCTTATTTGGGCCACGAAGGGCAAGCTACTGAGTTTCTCCAAACTTTTGTCTGTTCCCAGAGTTCTCGTATTCTCTTTTTTTGTTGCAATGCATTAACTTGGCTGTCCCCCAGTTAAAAGTGTTATCCAGACGTGGACCCCGTGCTCAAAGCGGTATCAGCTACACCTCACTGACGCGGCCAAAAGAAGGCCGAAACAATCGTCCGAGGTTACTGTAACTCTTGTGCAGAGAGAAGTTGCCGGCATTTCGGTTCTGGACTGCCGTTCTGTGTGGGATCAGCAAACACTAGACGGGGAGATACTTGTACATGCCTACAACATACATCTGTAGTTTGAGAACTCTGAAATTAGGATTTCAATAAATCTTGCAGATAAAATAATCGATACACTATAATCCATGTCTTATATCTTCGCCATTATTTATGTGTTTGAAATGCTGATGCCACTTTTCTTTCAGCTGCCAAGAACTGTAAGGAGCTGTTGGACGAGGGCATGGTATTAAGTGACTGGTATACAATATATCCGGATGACGAGACCCCACTCAAGGTGCTGTGTGACATGCATACTGATGGAGGGGGGTGGATAGTAAGTCTACAGCTGTTTTCTATTCGTCAACAATATCCATCTCCTTCAAACTCAGAATTACATGATTTAAAAAAAACCTTTTTGTCAAACGTCTATGAGAAGCAAGTAACTGATATTACAGTAAATGAAGATTAAACACCATCCCTGTTGGTAAAAGAAAGAGTTAAGGGGCTACTCTGAGCACCATGACCACTTCAGTGATTTGAAGTGATCCTGGTGGATGGAGTCTGTTGTGAAATATTTTGCTGTGAAATAATGCACGTGCAGAGATTAATCCCCTCTGCTGCCAGAGATGTAACTCCACCTCCTGCTTTAAGAGTTCTGGCTCGATAATGTGAATTCTTTGCAAATGTGTTGTCTGACACCAGTGGCTCCATTCAGCCATGCCACCCATGTCCTCCCCAGCATCCATCTCCCTTCAGCAAAGGGGGATAATAACAGGGGAGGTAGACCAGGCTACAGGGAGAACTTGGCATCAGTACTGGATTGGAAGCAAAATTTAGATATTTTCAATTTTATTTTTTATTTTTTGGGCGGTGGGAGAGAGCATATTGTAAGGGTTTCTCTGACCAATGACAGTATTTTCATAAAACACCATTTTTTGGTTGGAGTAACCCTTTATTCATTGGTATTAGTTTCTCACTGCTCATTATATTTGGAGGACAATATGCATTAATATACTGATTGCAAAACTATGTGAGTGAATCCTTGTAAATGAAAACAGATGACTTACTTAATAATCAAAGGCTTGAGACACCTTAACCCACCTCCTCCTTAGACAAGAGAAATGCACTCCACCGTATGGTTGTAAAATCTCTTTAATAGCTACTTACTACAATTAATTAATTATGGTACAAACTATAGACCCTGGCTCATACAAAAGGGTTTACCAGTAGCAAATATTTACATATTAAAAACTGTCTCATATGGCTCAGGAACGGTGCAGGTCAACATTGACAATGCAGACGTGTTAATTCTGTTTGTATAGAAAACGAACACTGATTAAATCCCATTGATTTTTGCCTCTCTGATGTTAATGCAGGTTTTCCAAAGGAGATGGGATGGGTCAGTGGATTTTTTCCGTGACTGGAAATCATACAAGGCAGGGTTTGGAAGCCGCCTAAATGAATTTTGGCTGGGGAACGATAATCTTCACATATTAACGGCATCTGGTAATGATGACACAGGCCAGTCTCCCTATAAAAGTTATGTGCTCTGCCTGGGAGATCATGGCTAATACGCCATACTGCATAGAGATAGTTATTATACCCCATAAAGAACACATTACAGCTCATTCCATGCAGAGGTGGTCATTAACCTTGGGCAGAATATGTGCGGTCTGTCCAAGATTGGTGAGAGTTAAAGTTCCAAGAGGTACTGGCAGCCATTTGTAATTATAAATGGAAAGAACAGTGCCTCCACATGCAACCAATTTCAAAAAGTAAAAAGAGAAATTATTCCAGCTTGTCCTTTGCAATCCAGTGCCCATTTACTTGGGTGTCCTAAATGTTCAAAGTAATGTTTCGACCATTAACCGCGGTGTTTGTCAATCTAATGTATAACAAATAGTAAAGGCAATAAAATGCCACATAGAAACATAGAATGTGACGGCAGGTAAGAACCATTCGGCCCATCTAGTCTGCCCAATTTTCTAAATACTTTCATTAGTCCCTGGCCTTATCTTATAGTTAGGATAGCCTTATGCCTATCCCACGCATGCTTAAACTCCTTTACTGTGTTAACCTCTACCACTTCAGCTGGAAGGCTATTCCATGCATCCACTACCCTCTCAGTAAAGTAATACTTCCTGATATTATTTTTAAACCTTTGTCCCTCTAATTTAAGACTATGTCCTCTTGTTGTGGTAGTTTTTCTTCGTACATGATACAATAAAATACATCACATTCAGGGCCGCACTTGCCCACTGGGATAACGGGAAATTCCCTGATGCAGGGCAGAACCGACATGTGTGTGTCAGTGAGCTTATCTATAGTGAGCATGTGTGTGTCAGTGAGCTTGTCTGCAGTGTGAATATTTGTCTGTGTTAGTGAGCTTTTCTTCAATGAACATGTCTGAGCTTGTGTGTGTGTCTGAGCTTTTCTGTGAGCATGTGTGTGTGTCTGCAAGCTTGTCTATAGGAAGCATGTGTGTGTGTTTCAGTGAGCTTATCCATAGTGAGCTTGTGTCTGAGTAAGCTTGTCTGTAGTGAGCATGTCTGTGACAGTGAGCTTGTCTGTAGTGATCATGTATGTTAAGGAACTTGTCTTTAGGGAGCATTTGTATGTGTGTCAGTGCGCTAATCTGTAGTGAACATGTGTGTGTGACAGTAAGCTTGTCTATAGTAAGCTTCTGTTTGTTTACCAGTGAGTTTGTCTGTAGTAAGTTTCTGTGTGTACACAAGTGCTTACTGTATAATTTAATTTAATACTTTGAAAGAACCAATATTTTGAATTAGAAAAAGCATACCAATGTATATACATAAATAGTCTTTATTATCTTTGTATTGTCCGTAATGAATGGCACTGTAGTGAACTGAAACATCAACCTTTTGTTTTTGTATTGGATGTGCCAGAGTGCCTGTGTATATATAAATATATAAATATATTACATACACACACTACGCGGCACAATGCCTTAAGGGGCTGGCATACATTGCTTTCCAGTCACATTATATTATTGTGATACTAATATAAAGGCACACTGGACTGAAAAGGACTCGCAGGAATGTTTTTTCTTTGTACATTTTAATTATGCCAGATGAAATAGCTATCTCCCAGGATTGAAACTTCCACTGATCTCAAGCAGAACTGGGACATGAATGCATCAGTGTTGTCCCTGCAGTGAAGTGCTCCCCTTAATCCCTACACTACCTTAACATACTATGCTCAGCATTAAGCCCTACATTACACACTCAACATTCAACATTAATATCTTCACTATTCTAACAAGAAACACTGCAATCTCAGAGTCCCGGGGACATTTATAAACCCATTTCTACATGTAGAATGTGTGTGTGTGTGTGTAGACATGTTTTTAATTGCGCTTTTAATTTTTCATATTAAACCATTGGTTTATACTTGTTGCTCAGGTACATGGGAGCTTCGTATTGACCTGACGGACTTTGAAAACATGAAATATTTTGCCAAATACGACTCATTTCAGGTTTTTGGGGAGTCTGAGAAATACAAGATATTGCTTGGAGCTTTCACGGAGGGGAATGCAGGTAATGGAGGGCAACAATATGAAAGCACATTTTAAAAGAGTAACAGGACGAATGCCAACAATAAAGTGGTAAATAACTACAAGATCTCAATCAATTTCAAGTTTATAATACGGGCTTCACTCAGCATCTCTTCGAGGAAAGTTTAGAATATTCTGTTGGCATGCTGTGTGTCTAATTCCTAGTGCATTAAACTGTCACTTTAATATTTTAACAGATTGTGGAGCAGAGATCTCGATTAGGAAACTGCTAAATATTTAAATTATTTGTTTTACTTTTTTTTTCTCCTTTTTATCAGTTTCTTCTAGTATAAAGAACAGAATGTCCCCAAACAGGACTATTGGTGTGATCAAGTGACCCAGTGAGGGGGTGACCCTTAGTTCGTCCACAGAGAAAAATATAGTGTCCAGAGGATACTAATCCAATCGACACAAGAAAGGTTCCTTGTAAAGTATATAACTAATATTAAAAAGACATAACAATTAGATAAGTTTTATTAAATATTATGAGAAAAAGACATATATAACATGGACCCATTAAAAAAAGAGCCATACAGAAGGCTCTATAATAACAAATGGGGACTGACTCCAAAGTGGGCTACTTGAGATGTGGACTGAGGGTGATGGTAGTAGGGATTAGCTACCCTAGCAGGGTCTGTATACCAGCTGATGGATTATGTTGAATATTCTTTATATCATATAGCTGTATATCATATCATCATAGTAAAAACAAGGTGTATATATCGACTTCAGAACTCTTGTAGCTAGAATTAAAGGCAGTCTAAGGCCCTAGAGAAAAGGCACCACTATAGTAGAAAATCTGAGTCAAATAGTTTGTATTTATAACCAATTTTAAGCTGTAATAACCCCAGGCTGACACCTAAATAAACTTTTCATTCTAGTATAACTATATATATATATATATATATATATATATCATTTACACTAAGTCCCTTGTAGCAATAAAGAAAGGCAATGAAAAGACCTTCTAAAACAAAACCAATATTAACGGTATACTAAGTACCAACAGTGTCCACTTTATACTGCCTTCTTAAAGTCCATAAACAATATGCCAATTTGACAGGAAGACCTATAGTCTCAGGCTCTAATAATCTGGTTAATAGAGGCAGTATCTATGTTGACAAGGTGTTACATACTTTAGTATTACCATCATATCTGAGAGATACGAAAGATACCCTTAAATGTCTATCTCAACTCAAAGTACCCCAAAATGCCATTCTCTGCAGTTTGGACGTGGAGGTCCTATGTTCCTCTATTCCGCGTTGTGTAGGTATCGAAAATACCACATTTTTCTTGAGACTAGGGGATCTGAACATCAGAGACATATGACCTTCGTCTTAGCCCTTCTGCAATTCATCCTTACACATAACTTTTTTCTCTTCCACAATCAATTTTACCAGAGAAAATGCAGTGTTTACATTACGGCCTAGGGATAAATCCACTGGCCACTCCTCAGATGGCTACTAGAAGTGCTTCCTGTGTCATTGCTGCCTAAAATGCATCACAACATTCAATGTCTCCCCCCTCTGCATGCAGACACTGAACTTTCCTCATAGAGATGCATTGATTCAATGTATCTCTCTATGAGGAGATGGTAATTGGCCAGGGCTGTGTTTAAATTGTACTGGATCTACCCCTGATCTGCCTCTTTGACAAGCTCAGCCAATCCTATGGGGAAGCATTGTGATTAGATCAGGCCACCACTTCGGATCATGTCAGCAGGCAGTGGTCAGGTCAAAATGAAACAGGGACAAAGCAAACAGCTCCAGACTTGAATACAAGTAAGATTTTACTATCTTTAGGGAGGCAAGATGTTTTCCAGGGGGGCTAGATGGTGGTTTTAACACTATATGGTCAGGAATACATGTTTGTCTTCCTGACCTTATACAGGGAGTGCAGAATTATTAGGCAAGTTGTATTTTTGAGGATTAATTTTATTATTGAACAACAACCATGTTCTCAATGAACCCAAAAACTCATTAATATCAAAGCTGAATATTTTTGGAAGTAGTTTTTAGTTTGTTTTTAGTTTTAGCTATGTTAGGGGATATCTGTGTGTGCAGGTGACTATTACTGTGCATAATTATTAGGCAACTTAACAAAAAACAAATATATACCCATTTCAATTTATTATTACCAGTGAAACCAATATAACATCTCAACATTCACAAATATACATTTCTGACATTCAAAAACAAAACAAAACAAATCAGTGACCAATATAGCCACCTTTCTTTGCAAGGACACTCAAAAGCCTGCCATCCATGGATTCTGTCAGTGTTTTGATCTGTTCACCATCAACATTACGTGCAGCAGCAACCACAGCCTCCCAGACACTGTTCAGAGAGGTGTACTGTTTTCCCTCCTTGTAAATCTCACATTTGATGGACCACAGGTTCTCAATGGGGTTCAGATCAGGTGAACAAGGAGGCCATGTCATTAGATTTTCTTCTTTTATACCCTTTCTTGCCAGCCACGCTGTGGAGTACTTGGACGCGTGTGATGGAGCATTGTCCTGCATGAAATCATGTTTTTCTTGAAGGATGCAGACTTCTTCCTGTACCACTGCTTGAAGAAGGTGTCTTCCAGGAACTGGCAGTAGGACTGGGAGTTGAGCTTGACTCCATCCTCAACCCGAAAGGCCCCACAAGCTCATATTTGATGATACCAGCCCAAACCAGTACTCCACCTCCACCTTGCTGGCGTCTGAGTCGGACTGGAGCTCTCTGCCCTTTACCAATCCAGCCACGGGCCCATCCATCTGGCCCATCAAGACTCTCTCATTTCATCAGTCCATAAAACCTTAGAAAAATCAGTCTTGAGATATTTCTTAGCCCAGTCTTGACATTTTCAGCTTGTGTGTCTTGTTCAGTGGTGGTCGTCTTTCAGCCTTTCTTACCTTGGCCATGTCTCTGAGTATTGCACACCTTGTGCTTTTGGGCACTCCAGTGATGTTGCAGCTCTGAAATATGGCCAAACTGGTGGCAAGTGGCATCGTGGCAGCTGCACACTTGACTTTTCTCAGTTCATGGGCAGTTATTTTGCGCCTTGGTTTTTCCACACGCTTCTTGCGACACTGTTGACTATTTTGAATGAAACGCTTGATTGTTCGATGATCACGCTTCAGAAGCTTTGCAATTTTAAGAGTGCTGCATCCCTCTGCAAGATATCTCACTATTTTGACTTTTCTGAGCCTGTCAAGTCCTTCTTTTGACCCATTTTGCCAAAGGAAAGGAAGTTGCCTAATAATTATGCACACCTGATATAGGGTGTTGATGTCATTAGACCACACCCCCTTCTCATTACAGAGATGCACATCACCTAATATGCTTAATTGGTAGTAGGCTTTCGAGCCTATACAGCTTGGAGTAAGACAACATGCATAAAGAGGATGATGTGGTCAAAATACTCATTTGCCTAATAATTCTGCACTCCCTGTAGTGCTCCTTTAAGTAATCATCTCTGGAGTCTTCCAGTATAAACTTAATTAATACAATGTGATACATAAATAAATGTGGTAATAGCGATAGTGATTTGGTTATAGAAGTGGGTAGGATGTGACATTATTCTGTTTTCACAGGTGATTCTCTAACATATCACAACAATATGAAATTCACAACAAAAGAACAAGATAATGATCTTGATAGATCAAACAGCTGCTCTGAAAAGTATAAAGGAGGCTGGTGGTATAACGACTGTCACGTTTCCAATCTAAATGGGCTCTATCTGTTGGGACAACACAATTCTTTTGCTGACGGTATCAACTGGTATCATGGAAAAGGGTATAACTACTCCTACAAGCACAGCGAAATGAAAATCCGCAATATTTAATGCCATTATTACAGATTAATCTGCTGACTGTCAAATATATACAATTATAACACAAATTTAACAATTCAATTATTTCCCTACTAATACTACTTGCTCATTCCAACAGAGATTTTTTAGTACTGATCTCTTAGCTTAATTCAGATGCCCGAACTTACAATGTTAAATTACATCGTTCATATTAATTCTAATAAAATATTATGAATGTAATCCTGTATCCTGAACAGCTCTTTAAACACGAACATCTACATAAAGGTTAAATGGGTGTTTGGGTGCATGGTGTCACGTATCCATCCTCTCCATATAGAGATTACAGTAGTTATTACCTTCCTAAGAATAATAGCAGTGCCACTCAGCAGTCCTACACCATTTGCAACATGTCAGTGGACGACGGCCGCTGCCGATCCACACCATAATATAGCCCCACGTCTGCCCACGGTCATGGGCGTCCGCAGGAATTTTTCCAGGGGGGGGCATAATTGTAATGACATCCATGCTTGGTACCTTTTGACAGTGTCATGAAAGGGAAGGGGCATAGCCATTATCACATAAAGCCAGGGTGAATAGCGTTTTCACAACTATGGTGTCAGGAATATATGTTTGTATCCCTGACACTATAGTGTTTCTTTAAGCAAATTAAAGGACCATTCTGGTCACCATAACAACTTCACCTAAATGAAAATGCTATGATGCCAGGAAGCCCCTGGGTGCTCGCTTTCCTTTAAGGGGTTAAATCGCTCTCAAATGGTTTAACCCCAAAGGCTTCCTCCAGCTCCAGGTCGCTCTGTGGTATTTGGCTTCTGAAACAGAGTGTCTGGAAGTGCAGATTGACGTCAGGCTTGGGTGCCGCTGATTGGCTAGAGTGGACAGTTGACGCTCTAAGCCAATCGCTAGTTCCCGGTTCATAAAATATTTTTACTTTTTTATGAATGGGGAGCTACTGATTAGCTTAGAGTGCCAGCTGACCGCTCTAGCCAATCAGCAACACCCCTACCCAACGGCACTCTGTGCTTCCTGACACTCAGTAAATAAAAGTGAACACATTAATACTGATATTTTTTTACCTTTTGGAGATGAGAATGTCCAGCGTTTCCCTGCCTGGCCCAGGTACCAAAGCCTTATGATGTGGTGTCCAGAATAAAATGGAGGGTTCACTTCATTTGTCCTTCCTGCTCCAATCTCCTTTTCCTCTCCTTCATTTGACAGTCTTTTTTTTTATCTTCTGACACAGTTTTCTATCCTTGGCCCTTTCTGCTTATTTTGCGCCCTTCTGCTCCTTTCTCATTCTGATCCCTTTCTGCTCCTTGCAGACCCTTTCTGCTCCCTTTTCTACTTTATCTTTGTGCTCCTTCCTGTCCCTTTGTGCTCCTTCTCCTACTTTACCTTTGTGCTCCTTCTGATTCTTTCTGCTCCTTTACCTTTGTGCTCCTTCCTGCTCCTTGCAGGCCCTTCCTGCTCATTCTCCTATTTTACATTCTCCTATTTTACGTTTGTACTCCTTCTGCCCCTTCTAGCTCATTTCTGACCCTTTCTGCTCCTTTTACTTTACCTTTGTTCTGCTTTACCTTCCAGCTCCTTGCTGACCCTTCCTGTTCATTTCTGTTCCTTTGTGCTCCTTCTCCTACTTTACCTTTTGTGCTCCTTGCTGTCCCTTCCAGCTCCTTGCTGCCTCTTTCTGCTCCTTGATGTCCCTTCCTGCTCTTTTCTGTTCCTTCTCCTTTTCTTACTTTACCTTCCTGCTCCTTGCTGACTCTTCATGTAGGCTGTCTCCCCCATCCCTCACTTCCATAGGCGTGCGCACGGGGTGTGACGGGTGTGCATGGGCACACCCTAATCCCCGCGGCACGCCAATGGATTGAGACTGGCAGTGGAGATCTCTGGATCTCTCCGGTCAGCTCATGCAGAGCCGACGCTATCCGAGCGGCGGCTCTGGTCTAAGCCTCCATGGGCCGGTGGGGAGATCAAAGTTCTATCTCACCGGTCCACAGCAGCATGGAGGGAGGCAGCAGAGAACCCGGGCTAGAGTTCACTCTCCACTGAACCACCAGGGAAGGCAGCAGGACTGGGATATTAACTAATCTGCCCCCACCTCCACCCAAACATACAGCACACACACACACACACACAGCACCTACACACAGCACACACAGCCCACAAACAGCACCCACACACATACATCACCCTCGCACCCACAGCACCCATACACACCCAGCACACTAACAGCATCCTCACAAACACACAAAACACACACACAACACCCGCACAGCACCCACACACAAACAGCACACTCACACACAAACAGCACCCTGACAAACACACAACACACACACAGCACACTAACAGGACCCGAACAAACACGCACACACAAACACCCTCTCACACACACACACACACACAGAGCACACTACCAGTTCCCTCACACACAGCACACAAACAACACCCTCACCCACATAGCACACTACCAGCACCCTCACACAGCACTGTGTGTATATATATATATATATATATATATATATATACATATACATATATATATATATACATATACACACACACATACATATACATATACACATGGCGTGTGTTTGTGCTTTAGGGTGCACACCCTAATGCAATAGGCTGCGCACGCCTATGCTCACTCCCCTAATCTATAGGCTGCTGCCCCCCCCAAATCTATAGGCTGCTGCCCCCCCAAATCTATAGGCTATCTCAAACCCTCCCCCCATCCCTCACTTACCTGATCTGTAGGCTGTCTCTGGCTGCATGTGTTGTTCCCCTGCGGTTTCAATCAGCAGAGAGAAGCAGGGATAAGATGCAGCTTCCTATCCCTGTCTCTCTTCATACACAGCGCCACCTACTGGCCGGCGCTGGTGTTGCAGTTCATTTTCAATCACACGAAAAATAGCAGAACAAGCTGAAAAATCCAGGGGGGGGCAAGTGCCCCACCTTGCCCCCCCCTGCGGACGCCCATGCCCACGGTAATGATGATGTCGATGTGTGTGTGACGTCACGCAAAAGACGCAAACGCACGTTTTGGGGTCAAAAGTCAGGTACGGCCAATCGGATCTGCAGGAGTTTTTTAGACTTATCATTCCTTCTACTCATTGCCCTGTCATGGTTTCCCTTTGCTGATTTTCCGAGAGTGTGTTCCTGATCGTATTATTCAGGGTTTTGACTTTGGCTTAATTTTGACTTCCCTGATTTCTGGTATCCTTGACTTTTGGCTTTCCCTCATCGTTGTGTCTCATTCTGTATCCCTCATCGTTGTGTCTCATTCTGTATCCCTCATCGTTGTGTCTCATTCTGTATCCCTCATCGTTGTGTCTCATTCTGTATCCCTGACCTCGGCAAGTATTTTGACTATTCTTGGGTACGTTAAGTCCGGCCATTCTAAGGCCTGGTTAGACGTTACCTTTAGTCCGAGGTGTGATACTATTTCTGCGTGCTGGATCAGCTAGTAATCCTGACACATGGGATATATGTTTTGTAAAAAATGATTGATTTTAGACCTTATTTAAAATATAGTGTCCACGTCCATTGAGAATTATTCAAATGGACTCAAATAATTTAGAGAGACTTGAAAGGAACGCCACTGAAGTGTGTCTAAATCACTTGTACTTTTTGCCTAAAAAAGAAAACATGACATTTAATTAACTCCTTAAGGACAGTGGCAATTGTACAAGTTCTGATTAAAACAAACCCAATACAAAGCCTAGAATTTGCGCTATATGTCTGTTCAACCATAATTCACCTCTTTCATATTATATGTACCCACACTTATTATGTATCATTTTGTTCAGAAGAAACAAAGCTTTCATTTCACATCAAATATTTATATATGAAACATAATTTCCCAGGTTCTGCATGACATTTTTAAATGAGAATGTCATAATTATTTTCCTGCAATAAAACACATATTTGTATGCACAACGTGTACAACGATGCCCCCCATTACCAGGTTTTATGGGGTTTTGGAAAGTTACAGGGTTAAATATAGGACTTTCCTCTTTTCAGTTTTTACTGCCAGATTGGTTTGCTGGGTCTATGTTGCCTTTGAGACCGTATGACAGCCCAGGAATTAAAATTAACCCCAACATGGCAAACCATTTGAAGAAATAAACAACCCAGTGTATGTCCTGTCTTTTTTAGTAGCCACTTAGTCACAAACCCTGGCCAAAGTTACTGTTTATATAAGTTGTTTTTTTTTTGCATTTTTCACCTGCCCTTTCACCAATGATATCATCAGTTTTACACGTTTTACTATTCTAAAACACTCATATTTGTGTTCAGCGATGTCTCAGTACCCCCCATGTACAGGTGTTATGGTGTTTTAGAAAGTTACAGGGTCAAACATAGGGCTTGCAAATTAAATTCTCTGGATTTCCTGCCAGGGTTGTCAGGCAGGTCCATCAAATTATAATGAATAAAAACATCAATATGGAAAAATTATATATCTAAATATAAAATTAAGTAAAAATTATATAGTTTATATATAGATATATAATTATATATTATATCCACCTCCCCCCCCCCATATACTAATATCAAAATAAGCTTAGAATGAAATGACATCTATCTATATATATGTAATTTCCTTCTAAGTGTGTAACGGCATCCCAGGCATAAAGGGGTTAAACCGCCGTTTAGTAGATCTTCCTTTACAGATATACAGGCAGCTACCGAAGACACCAATCACCCGAACAGGAAACCATATGAATGCCGTAAACAGCTGAACCGGAACGATATGAATGCTGTAAACAGCCGAATAGGAAAAACCATACGAATAGGTTTACACTCCTAGCAGTCAAACTGGAACAGCATACAATAAATCCCCCCAAGAACGAGACAAGGCTTCGTTTTGAGGGTCAAGCAGGAACAGAGACGATCTGTGTCTTTATTGGCCTTATATACACATTCTTACACATTAGTGACACCCACAGGGTTTTGGAAAACAACCAATAAACATGTACAATACACTCAGACACTCCCACACAAAATCCTCCCCTCTGCCTGTGATACAATTACCTTACACAATCGGTTAATGTAATTATCACAGGCAGAGTAATACAGTTTTTCCACATTATTCATAACTTTAAAAGTATGCACCACATTCACATAAAACTTACAGCATACTCCAAATACAAACATATGTCAAAATCATCCAAATTGGTCCATTGGTTCAAAAGATAGATCGAAGTCCTTTGTGACCA